GGGACAGCAGCTACAGCATAAAGGCAGCCATTCAGGGCTTGCGCTGCGCAAGCGGCTGAGCAGGGCTGGAAAAGGCTCAGTCTGTCTTTTCCAAGCACAGCTCTGCTGCTTGTAAGACACAGACCTGGTATTGAGTGGGGAGAGGGGCCTCCTGTGCCCCGGGAGCATATGGGGCTGGTTCAGACTCTCCCCAGTGCCAGGGGTCGGGGTGAGCTGGCACTCACCCTTGGCACTGTGTAACTGTGAGGGTGTCCCCTGTGTGGACAGGCTGTGCCCCTGGGTGGCACCTTGTCTTGCTGGGGCAATGAGGGCCCCATGGGGAGCTGTGCTGCTGCTGCCACCACCGTCACCTCGCAAAGCCAATGGGGTCCTGAACGTGCCCCCTGGATAGTTGCAGGGCTGGGCTGCCTGTTGCTTGGGCTGTTCCTGTCAGGAGATCTGCATTGGGGGTCTCTGCCCCAGGACACCCTCCTTGCAGCTTTTTCTTCCCGAGGTGTGTCAATGCCGTGCCAGGCTCCTGGAGCTGCTGCTGCCCTACCTGCCTGCTCCTCTGCAGGGGCACAATCGGCTCTTTCATTAGCGGGCCTCCCAGGGGGCTGTGTGGAAAATGAATGGAAAAGGTAACTGGCTGGTGTTGCTTGTCTGTTAGCATCCACCAGGAAAAACGTGTCAGATTTTTCCTTGACACCGAGGGCTGGGAGGGAGGATTCTTAAAGCTGCAGAGCGTGCCCTGCTGGGAAGATGCTGTGGGCTGAGGGCAGCCAGCACTGCTGTGGTCAGCCATGTGCTCTTGTTTTCCCTTCTTGTCTAGCCTGGAGCCTGCTCCCTTCTCTCCTCTGCAGAATGCTGCTTGGCCTTTGCTGCAGCTCTCACTGGGCCAGAGGCTGCTGCTGGTCCCACAGTGGCCCCATGAGAGCCTGCATCCCTGGGAGACCCCTTCCTTGAAAGGGCTCCTTGCCTGCAGCCTGGGGAAGTGGGCAGGTCACACAAGGGTGTGCGAAGGGCATTTGGGATTTCAATCCATCCCAAGTCGGACATTTAGTGTTTTGATGCAGCCCACAACCCTCTGCCTGGGGAAGGCAGTGAAATTCGTGTGGACGCTGCTGCTGGTGGGGGCCTGGCCATTCCCTCCCCCATTTTCTCCCCTCCTGCATGTTCAGCAGAAGTGTGCAGTCCCCAGGGCTGCTCCTGCTAGGCAGCAGACATGCTTTCTAGCTTAGATGAGTTTGTAATGGCTTTGTTGAGGTTTTCTGTAAGTTACTGAGAAGTGAGTGTAGCTTTGGCCTTTGGTTTGTGTTCCTGTAGTTGTTCTACTTGGTGCAGAAGACTTGTTCTGGTTGATCTGCTTTTGAACAGGAGTGGTGTTCTTGCTGCTGGTGACGTCTGTGGCAGAGCATGCAGGGCTCCTGCCTGCCAGGAAGGTGCTGGAGCTCCCCTGTTCTTTCCCTCTGTTGGCCCTCTTGCCAAGCACGCCTCACTTCAGGTGGAAGAGTCTCAGCTTTGAGGCTCAGAGCCTGGAAAAAGAGCTTAGTGGGGAGCCTGGTCAGGCCTGAGCTCCCAGTAAGACTGGGAGAGCCTGTTGGAGCTAACAGCCTGAACTGTTGGACTGGAGCTCCTGCTTCGGGTGGGTCCAGCCTTGCTTTTCAGTGCTTCCCAATGCCTTGGCAGTGCCTCCAGGGTCTCTCCTCTGGCAGGCAGCACCTTCCTGCTTTCAGAGGGGATTGCTGGCGAGGGATGAGCAAGAATGGGCTCAATTGCAGCAATCGAGCTGGAGCCTTCCACAGAGCTGAGCTGCTCCCAGGCGCCGGTAAAACAGCCAATCCACAATGGCAGAGCCCCCTGCCCCGGCCCCCGAGCCCTGCCTGCTGCAGAGGCACGTCTTTGTTCCCAGGCTCTGGGAGCTCCTCACCGGCCCTTCCCGTGGGGCTGGCCTCGCACCATGGTCTGTGTGGAGGCTGATGCTTGGCCTTGCTGGTTTCTGCTGGTCCTGCCGAGTGCCCAGCAGTGCGTGTCCGAGCCGGGCTGCAGCCCACAAATGAAAGTGCTCTCTTCTATTGCTTGCTGCTCGGGTTGCGAGTTCCACCAGGAGGCTCCAGTTTCTGGAGTGGCACCACATGCCAGGGCTTTACAGACCCTGCACAGCTTTTTCCTTCCCTGCTGCTGTGCCCCAGGCAGAGCTGCTGGAGCTGGACCTTGTAGGACCCTCCAGGGAGCCAGCAGCGACCCCTAAACCTCTGGAAAGCCGCAGCTTTTCCCCTGGTTGTGGATGTAATGTGTAGGGAGCTCTGCTGTGTGCTCCAGCAGCAAAGGCTGTTAGCAAGGAGTCATGAAGGCAAAGGCTCAGGCCAGCTGATGCGAGTGTTCAGCAAGCTGGCTCTGTAGTGGCTGGGCCATGGTCTTATGGGGCTGGTCATCCAAGCCAGGAAGTCACAGTGAGGACTGGACTGTGCCTAACCTGCGTCACCTTCTGGGTGTCATGTCCCAAGTGTCCTGCAGAGCTGATGGGACTGTGACCACCAGCACTGTCCCCATGCCCTGGCCATCTCTTTGGGTGGGAGGCTGCTCTTGTGCCCAAGCCAATGTGTCAGCGCGGTCCACTGGCTCTGGTCCTCCTGTTCCCTGTCAGGGCTGGTTTTGTAGACAACCAGCTGTGCCTGGTCAGAGCCAGTGGGCTTCTGACCAGGCCTTCTCCTCCCATCTTGTCTTCTCTCCCAGGCATGTGATGGTTCAGAGGAATGAAGCAGAAGTCTGATGTTCTCCTGGTTATACCTGGCAGATAAATGGAGTGGGACACATTTGTCTCTAAGCTGCTTGTGGCTGAGACTGGGCCAGCAGCATGAGTAAAGCTTCCACTGCCTGGGGAGGCTTAAATTTTACCCGGGACACTAAACATTATCTGTTCCTCTGTGGTATAGGAGTGGCTGTGGAAGTCCAGCTTTCCCCCTGCTTCTTCCTGGGGGGGCCTGTAGCAACAGCATGGAGTCATTCTTTTGGCTGCAGGTATGTACAGTGGTTAAGGAAAGAGCACCAGGGAGGTGGGTGCTGCCCACCCACCAGCCCTGAGCTCTGGGTAGCATGGGGGACCCTGAGACCCCAGGCAAGCCAGGGTGGCTTGGTGCTCCCACTAATGTATTTGCTGCCCTGCCTTTTCTGTCTGGTGCCAGGGTGCTTTTGGGCATGGTTCTGGCTCTGGGATTTGATTCTTCTGTGGATTGATGAAGGCACAAGTAGCTTGCTGTTTTTTGGGTAGCCCAGAGGATCTGCTTATCTTCTGGCCGCATAAGCAGCAGTCGTGGCTGCTCTGGAGGGGTGACAGTGGGTACAGATTTGTTTGTGTGGAGCTGTTTGAGTGGAAACTGGGCTTTGCAAACAGTGGAGCTGTGCAAAGAGGGTTTGGGAGCTGAGAGGGCGGGAAGCACTGTGCCTGTCTGGGAATGGTCCTGGCTGCATCCTCACCCCACCCAGGGAAGGGGCAGTGGGGCTGCTCCCTGGTGCTTGTGCCCGCGGGTGTCAGATGTGTGTGGTTCCAGGCGGTCCCGCAGGGCTCGGGCTCAGCCCGGGGCCGTTATCGCACTGGCTGCTACCAGCTTCGTTTGGTGGAACTGTAAATCCGCTTTAATGGGCTGGGTGGGAATTGCAGCTCACTCCTGCTAAATGGGAGCTCTGATGCTGCGTGCGGGGCACTGGAAGTAGCTGAACTGAGACCTTATTCAGGCCCAAATCACCCCCAGACCCCCTCCCAAAATAATAATAATCCTTCTGACATTCTGGCTGCCGTCAGGACACAGGCAGCCTTTGTGCTCAGCCGCTCAGGGGACCCTCTGTTGGTGCAACAGCAATGTCCCTTTGTGTGCCCCACGTGCTGGATGGGGACAGTGAATGGAAGGTTCTGCTTGTGTTTATTTTCTTTAAAGAAGCTGAAGGAGGTGTAGGGGGGAGAAGGAAGCTGGCTGGGAGGTTCGTGTTCACATCCTCCGCGTGGAGACACCTTGTCTTAGCTCCTGCACTGCCGCCCCTTGGCCGGGCATTGGCACAATGAGGGCTTGTGTGGCTCCAGCGGGAAGAGCTGCGTGCACAGGGGATGGAGGGGACCCCTGGAGCGGGCGGGCATGGCTTCCGCATGGCTCCAAGAAAGTGTAAATTCCTATGGCTTGGAGCAGCCAGGGAGAAACAGGGTCTGGATTTGTTCAGGGTTTTGGCTGTGCTCAGTAGCATCTTCTGTCTCAGGCTCTTAAAACTGAGATCAGTTCCCTTTGGAAGCAAACTGAGAGTAACTCCTCTAGGCAGATGGGTAAGAGCAAGCTTAGCAGAATCTCTTGATGGTTGATTGGTGGGTAATGAGCAACAGAGTCGGGCTCCAACCTCCACGCTGTGCCCTGTGAGCGTGGGCTCCTGCTGTGCCTGGGCACTGTGGGCACCTGCCTCCCATGCACTAAAAACCTGAGATCCTGTCACAAGATCCATGTGTCCTGCAGCCCTGTTGTCACTACAGACTCCTGGGGCCCTGCCAGCATGTCTCACCTCGGAGCTAGAGACGGGATGAGGGGTCCATGGGGAGCGGACTGTCCTCCTCTTGCTCCCACTGGCAGGTACCGCACCCTGTCCCTGCAGCAGACCGGGACAAAGCAGGTTGCTAAAAAATGGTGCCATTGTGTCATGAGCAATCTGTGTATAATAAGAATATTATTTGAGTAAATGAGTCAGAAAGTGCCTGGGCTGGTGTCCCATGCTGGCACAGCCAAACTGTTCTGCACTTCTGTGGCAGAGCTGGGTGTCTTTGTCCTGCTGGCTCCAGCAGACATTGCTGCGATGGTGCGAGAGCCCAGCCTGCCTGTGGCATTGAGCATCATGGTGTTCTGTTGATTGTGGGCACTGAGGATCATGTTCTGTGGGGATGCAGCCCTGCAATAGGTCTGCAGGGGTGGAGGAGGCTGTGGGAGGCCTGCAGGCAGCCCCTCTGCACTGCATCTTGCTTCAGCCATGCCGTGTGCTGGTGGCTTCCCAGCTTCCCCAGGTTGGGGACAACGCTGCTGCTGTCTAGGGAGCTGTCAGGAAGCCTCGGAGGAGCTGGAAGGGTTGTTAGTGGGTGTTCAGGCTGCAGGGCTGTGCCTGCCAACACGTGTCAGTGAAATAGGCAGGCACTGGTTCTCAAAGCGCTTCTGGGTGCCCTGGTGTATGGCACCGTGCAGGTCATCAGCTCCCCTTACCTGTCACTCCAGCCCCTTGCTCCGTGCCCAAGTGATGCTTCCAGGGCTGTTACCTCTGGCAAAGCTGTGGTGCCCAGCTGTGCGGGTGCTGAGGCTGGCAAAGCCTTGCCAAGCTGCTGGAGCCAAATTGGCTGGTGAGGAAGGGGAGTGGAACTGGCAGCTGTCTCCAACAGCCTTCCCAGCCCATGTCACCCGCTCCAGAAGCTCCTGTGAAGGTGGTCTGGTGCTGCAGCCCTTTGTGCTGGTTTCATTCAGTAGAACTGATATGCAGGGATGGTGATGGAGGGATGTGCTTGGGGTTTTTCTTTGCTGCTTGCCTGGGTTTTCTAGGTGGCATGAGGATACCCCTGCTTCTGAAAGATGCTGCTTTTTCTTCTGCAGCAGGCCAGGGCTTGAGGCGTCATTTAGCATGTAGCCATCAGCTTGCTTCATGTCCTAGGCATCTGCTGTACTTGCCCTCATGCAGAGCCCTTCTTGCCCTGTGTGTTGTGCCAAACCAGCTGAATCCCTCGGCTTTCCTGCCACGGTCACCCCTACAGCTCCAGCTTCTGGATCTGTGAGCGATGGTGGACTCAGCTGCCGCAGCGAGGGCCCCAGGGGCAGCTGCATCCCCATGTAACAGGGTGGTGGGACCCCACTTTCTGAGCTGGCGAAGAAGGGTCTTCCTTGGGAGCTGGGGGTGGGGGGGCTGGCTGGGCGTCCTCTAGTGGTGCTTATAGGTACATGGAGGTGTGGGGCCGTTGCTGGTGGTACTTGCTCTGAGGGAGTGGGCACATTGTCCTTTGGGAATGCTGGAAGGCTTGGAGGGGACCAGGAGACTGACATTCCATCCCATGGGGGAGCTGGGGTGGTGGAGCCATCCTCCATCACGCTGGCATCCTGAGTGATGACTGCTTGGTCTCTTTCTCCATGTCCTCTCATCTCCCACAGTGGAGAACAGGCAGCTGACCCTGGACCTGCAGACAGAGAACAAAGGCAGCGTTGTCTCCGTCGGAGAGCTGACGATTTTCCTGGATGGGCCCACTGTTGATCTGGGAAGCCTGCCTAATGGCAGTGCCGTGACAGAGGGCGAGTGCTGCCCGGCTCCACATGCATGCGGCAGCTCTGCGCTCGAGGCAGTGAGCAGCAGCGGGGCTGAGAGCACCCTCGGCACCCCCGAGCCAGTGTCCCAGTGCCAGCAGCCACCTCCTCTGCCAGGTAAGGCTCTGGCCCCTGCCCAATCTAGGTTTGCGCACAGGCTCCTGCAGGAGCGAGCGTGTGGTGCGGCAGGAGCGGGAGCGTCAACAGGTTCACACCCTGCCTGCACAATGGCCTGAGAGGAGAGGCCCTGCTCCAGCCCTCTACCAGTTGCCTGTGTGGCTCAGCCCCTTCCCTTGCTGTCCTGTGTGGACTGGGGAAACGGCTTCTGTATGTAATGAATCCAGAAAAGGGTTCCTGTGGCAGAGAGTGTGCAGAGACATTGACTGGTATTTGCCAGGGGAGTGAGCAGAGCTTGTGCTGGACAGGGGCTGCTGCTTTGCTTTCCTTTAGCTCCTTCTCTTTCTCACTAGGAGTTGAAGGGTGCTGGGGCACCGGAACAGGATGCCCAAAGAAGTGGTAAATGCTCCATCCCTGGCAGTGTTCAAGGCCAGCTTGGACAGAGCCTTGGGTGTCTAGGATGAGGTGGGGTGTTGGAACTGAATGATCTTAAGGTCCTTTCCAACCCTAATTATTCTATGATTCTGTGAATCTATGATTCTAAATGTGGGAGTCATAAATGCGGCCACTCTCCTGGTAATACCAGTTCTGCATTTACCTTCCTAGTGCTGTGCTTGGAACCACGGGGCACTGTGGGGATGGGCTATGCCATGGCACAGCAGAGGACAAGGAGAGCACCTCAGTGTAAAAGTAGTGGTCCTTGCGTGTTGGTGGGTCTCTTCTGGAAGGAGGAAGGGAAGGAAGGAGGGGTGTTCCAATCATTTTCTTCACACATTTTTTCTTCACCCATTCAGAGTCCCAGCTGCCTGGACGGGACAGCAGCAGCATGGCTACAGCCACGGAAGGCAGACACCAGCCTCCCAGTGCAAACTGCTTTGGAAGCAGACCAAGGTAAGGGTCCTCACAGCTCGATTATCAGTGGTTGCTAGGACCTTGAGGCAGTCTGGAGTGTCCTTGTGCGGCGGATGCTGCTCTGGATCTCCCAGTGAACCCCAGCAAAGCAGCCCACAGGAGATTTGGAGCAGACTAACCTCCTGAAGGACAACAGACTGGGAGGTGGTGGGGGTGGCCATACCGCTGAGGTGCAGCTGACGTAAGCCTCTCTTGAAGTATTTATTTCTCAAGGATCATCAGGTCTGTGATGGCCCTGACAGTTTCCACTAGTTGCTCTATTGACAGCTGAAGGAATGGTCCATTGGGGAGATGGGGCAGGCTGTGACCAAGCAAATGAGCTGGTCTGCAGGGGTCCCTTCCCATTGTTACGGGCACCCTAGCTCTTGCCTTAAGCAAGGCACTGGGCCAGGCTGGAAAGCACAATGCCCCTGTGGGTGATGGTCACAGGGGACGCTTCGGAAGGTCCAGGGAGAGCAGGAGAAGCAGAGCAAGCAAAGCTGCAGGGAAATAACAGCTGCTTCCAAAGGAAATGAGCTGCTTGGGCACCAGGCCATCCTCTGCCTGGCACTGTGCCCTTCCTTGCCTTCTTGCTGGGCTGGAGTGGTTCAGTGCTGCTCCTTTTGGAGCTGTGGTTATTGAGAGACGTGTCACGCTGTCGACATGGAGTTGAATTTAACACCTATTTATATTTCCAGAGCATGGCAGTGGCCCAGCAGCCTATACAGATGTTCTGGTTAGAAGTGTGCCTGTAGAGAGGGTGCCTGCAGCCTGCCTGATGTGAGGTCTGCATGCCCTCAGGCTTAGGAGCACTCCCAGCAACAAGCCCCACACCTCCAGCTCTAAAAAACACATACAAGAGATGAGTGAAAGGGAGAAATGGTTTTGACTCTGAAAGGAGACCCTGTCCTTCGTATTGTGTGTTCATCTCCCACCAAGGAGGGAGTGGGATGGGAAATTGGGATCGAGTTGCTGAATGCAGTTTGTGCCCTTTTGTTGTGGTTGCTCCTCTTGACTCCTGCTGTCCCGGGTTTAAAGTC